CAAAAATTGTTGCGTGCGTACGGATTTCGTTACGAAATGAATGCACAAGTCCGGATGAAAAATGAACAAAAATTTATTATTATATCACAACAAAAATGCTTAAATTTTCTCAAATTATCGTGCAGTATTACAATATCTCACAGTAGTTATCTTTTAACTACTCAAATATCCAATAGAACGTAATTCAAAACAGCTAAAGAACGCTAATCCGCGAATTCGCTACAATCGACAAGAGCAGTTTTCTAAACAACAACAAACTAAGCAAGCAGCTAACTACAAACTGAGATGTTTTCCTCCTTTTATAAGATTTTAAAATCACGCGCTAGAATTTTCCAGTACTTTCTCGAAATCAAACAGAGATATTTATTTATTTAATGCACGCGCTCTTGTATTTTCAATTTTCCGGCTTAGCTTTCTTTTAATATTCGTCACGCGCTGCACTGCGCGAGAAATAAAACCATTTAATTTATAATTGAACTAATATTAGCTTTTTAAATACCAAATTCGTAACAACAGGAATATGAATGAAAATTTATCTGTGGCATCATAAATGTGTGTTAACGATTAGGATTGTTTTGTTGCTACAAACCTCTGTAGAAATTTATTCCCCAATTGGATTTTGATAAAATAACTACAAAATTCAAGTAAATGTGCCTGCTTATAAAACCTCGATCGCATTATGTTTCGGCTACACGGGACTTGACATCGAAAGGGACATTCTCAGAACCCACACAATTCCAAGATACCCACGTAGTAGGTTACCATTTTCACTTACTATAAAGACTAATTGATTATCTCTCAGATTGGAATCATGTGATGCTTCAGAAGCAGAACTTTCATCTAATTGGTTGAAATAAATTAGTCTAGAAATGATTTGAGGGAGTATAAGAGCATAATCGAGGAATAAGTACGATCTCAGCGAGGGTGTAAAAAGCCTTAACAAACCCTTTTGGGTGATTGTTAAAATCTGAAAAGTTTCAGATTTCTTAAAATTATTATTATATTTGCTTTTATCTGATGCTTTGGAGGTCCGGATATTGGATCATTCCAGGTTGGACATCGGAATTTCGGGCTTCGTACTACACATATAAATGAATCAGTTTGCATCTAAAATTTCACAGTGGTAAACAAATGAAAAATGATGTGGATGTCATAACAATTGCTCAATCGATTCTGGTTAAGAAATTTAACGTAACAGATTGCTCTTTTTGATCCGGAACTGATTCATTTAACTGAGAGAATTTACTCTGTTTCCAGAAAAAAGAGTTGTAGTTCTTTTACAGTTCATAGAGAGATCTTGTTAGAAATCTGCTAGGAATAAAAATCTGCTATTCGTTCATGAACTGATTCACATTACTGGATGAACGATCGCCTGATACGGAAAAAAAAAAAAAAAAAAAAAGAATGGAGCTCTTTTAGAGTAACCCATCGACAGCTTCTTGGAAGCATGCCAGGAATAAAGTGAATTCAGTTATCATTCAACTAAGAAAAAAATTTTTTTATTCTAGAATTTTATTGTTAGTTCTATGTAAAAAAAAGAGGTTTTAGGGAATCTCAAAACAACAGTTAAAAGGTGTTAGCCTGAGTCGATTCTTCCGATCCTACTGCTTTTTCAATTCTTTTCGCTGTTCACTCTAACATCTCTAAACAGTTTCGATTCCACTGTTTGTTCAATTTTTCTGCTCTTCATTCCATCTTTATTAAATGCTCTTGATCCACCCCTCGTTCCTGATCTTTTTCATCATGATAGTAAGCTAGTCATAAAGAGAATATTCATTTCAGTAAGCGAATGATTCTGATCCGACCCCATAAAAGAGTGGTTCTTCCTATCTCTGTTTTTAGTTGGCTAATAAAAGATATAGATTATAGATACAGCATATAAAAAATTAAATTGCTTATCTTAATTTTTTACATTGCATTGCGATTGTTTATTTTTTTTTTCAAGTAAAGTCGCACATCGTGACTTCTATGATTCCAGGATTCTGAAACTTAAAATATACTCCACTGCATGCTGTTCTATAGTACGCATGCCCCCAGTATAAATAATTTTTTCAAAATGCGAGGAAAAGCAAATAAAAAGGAAACCTTATTTTCAATTACGTCCAAAGAGACTTTTTTTTTAACATTTTGTGTGTTACTTTTATTGATTAAATATGTTCTTCGCACTTAAACCATAAAATTCAGTTCAAGAGCAATATCGCAAAATAATTTTAAATTGAGGCTATCTTTAGAATTTCCGATACACAGTCTCACGCGTTGGAGATAAAAATGTTTTTTTTTTTTTTTTTTTTTTTTTTTTTTTTTTTTTTTTGTACAACGTCGCCATTGCTCACTTTAAAATCCTTGAGTTTTTTAATCAAAAATTCGTTAAAGTTTTCCAAAATATGAAATCAATTATAAAACAAATTACAAATTTCAAATTTGGTCTTTCACATGCCCATGTTCGTAGGAGGATTACGTCATTCAAAATTCGATAGCTCGATGCACCGTTATTTTATCACAATGCGAGAAACATGCATACATTTCTGAAGATTTTTTATTATTTAATTTCTTCAAATATAATGCAGGACTCTAACATGGCAACAGTTTTGAAAAGTGAAACGGAGATTTATAGTGATTCAACGCAAAATCGCAAAACGAAAATAATAGTCCCTCAGGGACAAAGCCCTTTTGGACTAATAAGAAAATGCATTTTTTAAAAATTCAGTTATTTATTAAAAAGAGGCGAATGAAATTTAGTAAATGAAATGCATGATTAAACTTTTGAATCCCGAGGCTCATTTTCTCAATACACATTGATAAACATAGCGTGGTAACTCATATTTCAATTATATTCAACATATCAAAATTCAGTTACCAAAGCCTGAATAGTCCAGCAGAAATCAGGTTCGTGTCATTGCGTCGCTTTAGCGAGCCAAAAGCTCTTAGATGCAGGAGCTAGCTATTTGTAGTAGGTCATCTACGTCCAGAATTATCGAGACGATGAGAGAGCTCCTTTCGAGAATCTTCGAGAAAGTGCAGTGCACCGATTTCTGGAATGAAAATTTTAAAAGGTTTTTCTCGGATGCCATATTGAAACAGTCTGGTACTCAGGGCCGTGTCAAGATAAATTTAGTGAATCAGAATGCCATTGAAATTTAAACCATATTGTATATTCTTATTAAATTAATAAAACTAATCGTTTCAAAATTTTCGTTAAAATATTTGGTGATTTTTTATTTTGGAATTCGAAAAATTCTGCTAGAAAAAAGGCGCTAAGATTTGAATTTTGGAAACTTAAATCTTTTGAAGATTCGCGAGATCTGAGAATTGGAATGTTTCATCCTTATTTAAAAAATAAAAGTAACCGATAATTCAATTCGCATCTATTATTTAGGGTTAGTTTTGATATTAGTATGTTGGCTCTCTTGTTTATAGTACGGGAAAAACTAAATTATTATTTTTGTATTGAATACTTCAAAAAGGTTACAGCTTATTTTAAAATAATATATTTTTCTCAAAGAGCGTATATATGAGCCAGTTTCGTACAGAAAATTTTATTAGAAAGTATACCTCCTCTTCGGCTAGCCCTCTTGTGCTTTACCAAATTCAAGCAAAGCTTTCTCGAATGCGCGCCCACCACCAGCCAAACGATAAAGTCGCTGAACACTGGTAGTTCGGTGTGAGGTTAGGAAACCAGGCAAAAGGGGCTGGCAGCATGGGTATTTTTGTTATTTTCCTCATGTGTAACCAATTTCCCTTGGATAATCCTCCACTAAGGCATCCCTCCCCTTAGGCAGATAACCCTCGAGTGCTCTGCCGTAATCAAATAAACCAAGCCAGTTTTCGAATGCGCTATCCTATTTCACACATTTTACTCTTTCCATAGAAATGCATACGAGTTAAAAATAAAGTAATTTTTCCGTATCTATTTTTAAATTATCGCTTTATGTTTTTCACTCAAATGAAAAGCCTTTTACTTTGTTGTACTCGCTAAGACTTCGAATTCCTTCTTTTGACTTTAGTATACTTCTGCTAAAACCATTCATGGTTTGGCGGGAGGAAGGAGAGAAATCAGACGAAAATACTTCTGTTTTCTGTCTGAAATGTTCAGTCGCATTGCACGAATCTGTATCTCGTTGAGATGACGCGCAACCGGTATAGTGGTTAGCCCCGGTGACTGCCCGGAGGAAGGGCCAAGGTTTGAATCCCGGAGAAGGCATGAATGAGTGTCCGTGCGGCATGGGGCATTCTAAATATGGCGCCAGTCGAAAATCCTCTCGAAAGGTTGATGGTAGGGAAAGAGGGATAGAAGACCCTGGGACCCGTCCCTCCCGGGATGCTGCTGTCCATCAAAATTGGGGCGAAACCGAGCTAAATCGCTCTGTCACCTGTAAGGTGCTCAAGGCTGTTGCCAACGACAGGCGTAAAAAATTGCGCACCTTGCCACGAGGAATTTCGTGGGCTTGGGCTGATGTTACTGTCAGACAGTGAGCATTAGCAACAACAGCAATATCGTAGAAAGAAATTTTCCTGAATGTCTAGGAAGAGAAATGAAATTTCTTATTTACATTAATATGCAACCCTACTAATTACACAATAATACGAAATTCTCATTAATTTATTTCGAAGTTTCTTTTCATGAAAATCTTTTTCATTAAATTTACAACGATTTAAATAAGGAATTATGACTCTTAAGAAAATCTAATTGCGGCTCTGAAGTTTCCTGAACCCTAACATGCGGCGCCTTACTGTCTTGAAGTTTGGCGATCCTGTTATAGAAAAATGGCGGTTCATAAAAAAGAAGCCAAAATTGGGTTTTGCAACAGAGCAATAAACAGCATTTATTTAACTGGAAATAAGAAGAAATATGTTCCATTTCACTGAAGTTTTTAGCTACAACTTTCACTTTCATTTTCACAGATGTTATAACTTACAAAAACAGTAGAAGCAACAAAAAATATTTCAGTGCTGATGAATTTATTTCTCAGTTTGAACAATTAATGCTTTAAGGGCGCGGGAAAGAGGATTCGTCGCTTTATACGAAGTTCGCATATTTATAAAGAAGCAATAATCATGCTGTAGATAGTCTAATTACATTTGTGGACATGATGCAGACTGGAAAGATGGCAGAGGCGCCGCTTAAAAAAAGAATAACAATTTCCTGTTATCAAATGAAAGTTTTCTTGGAAATAAATTGCCCTTCATTCTATTAAAGGTAACATATCTTCCTCAAGATATGTCAAATCTTCAGCAGGAGTAGAGCAGACGATTATGCTTTTCTGCTTCGACGGGAAATAAATTCCAAGCTGAGTAAGACTAAAGCCAAGCGCGTGAATGAAGTAGTTGTCGTTTGGAATAGATGTTCTCGAGCAAATATGACTGCCAACCAAGCAGAAATCATGTTCATACATTGGAGTTTCGTGATTTTCATATCTGTAAAAAGCTGCTACTCTGATTCATCAACTCCAGAAACGTTTTGCGGAAACAATGATATAATGCCTATTACAAATATCCTTGATACTACCATGTTACTGGTAAATTACGCCAAGAAATATGCAAATGGGTGAGTTTGATTTTGGATTAAAAAACTTTACAACTGAAAATAGTTTGTTTATTTAAAAAGTAAGCTTGTTTTTATTTATTAAATACTACGAAAGAAATTTCTTTAAAGTGTGTTAAAAGTGTTCTTAAAAGTGTTTATCGTCTTCAATTCGCCGATTGGGTGTCCTCGGAAAAGTATAAAATATCGCCATTTCACTTAAGAGAAACATGCATTGTAAGAATCGTGAACATGGAGGGGGTGATTCCAAGTCTTGAAAAATTTAGCCTCTTCCTTTATTCAGTAAAGGCACAAGGTTCCAAGTGACGTTAATTATGATATGTTAGTATTAAAGCAAGTGTTTTTTTTTGCCTACCATCTGGCACTGCTATTCTGAATAACGCGTTTAAAATACATGATTATATGTTCCATGTCTTTAATTTCTGGCACATAATTTTTAAATTATTGCCTAAGCTTCAAAAGTTAAGCTGAAATATGCATATTAAGCTCAGATTGAAAATTCTTTTTAACTTTAAATGTTTTGCTTTTTTAAATATGCACCCAGCAGAAAAAGTTTACGTTTACCCTGCCAGTCAGTATACAACGTCAAAAAATAAAATAACAATTATTTGATTGATTTTGTTTCATGTATTTATTAAGTATTGTTATCTGCAAACACAAAATCATTTATTTCCCTTTCACAGTTCTAATAATTCACGGCAACGATTTAAAAAGTGAAACGTCGTTTTATAGTGGACTATGCAGAATGCCAAAACGAAATTTGCCGCAAGGGGCTTGTCCCTTTGAGCTAATTAAAAATAAAAGTGTTCAAATCAACACTCAACGTAGTATCAAAAGAAAGTTTTATACCTCCGACATTTAAAAAAAAAAAAAAAAAATCTATTTTTTTATGGCAATGTCTTTCAGGAAGGCAAATCATCAAGTTATCATACTTTGAAAAGTAACACTACATTCCTTGGTTTGGTTTTGGTTTATTAGATTACGGCAAAGCACTCGAGGGCTATCTGCCTTAAGGGAGGGATGCCTTCGTGGAGGATTTTTTAAGGGAAACTGGCTCGTATACACGTTACACTCGGCTACATTCCTTGGGAAAAGGAACAAATATTGCATACATACCTTTTCCATGTATTCCTGTGAAGTCGCTTAATGATTCTGCTTTTGGTTTCTTGAAAAGAGCTCTCTTTAAGCTCAAACCCATCGCGATGGATGGGCTCTGAGAAATACTGGAAGAGAAATAAAAATCAAAATCCCCATAAATTTTACGAAAACATCTTTTCATCGAAACCACGATTTAGTCTCAAAATCCAGATCAGTCTTATATCAGATCGAATATTTCAAAAATAATTTTTATATCTTAAGTATTAATTAAACAGCCTGAAATCGTTCTGAAAATATTTTTACGAAATGTACAGATACGGTAAGGTAGCTTCCCAGCAAAGCAGGTTTACGGTTGCCATAAAATGGCAAGAGAAGGCAGGATTGCCCCATCTGACGAGAAATAGCCCGTTTGGCGACAAGTCATGGACGGATGGAGAAACTTCTGGAACAAATTCCTACTGGTTTAGCCCAGAATATCCTCGAACACAAGCCAAAGCTATGTAAACCCTGCTGGTACGCAGTTAGTATCGAGTCGAATCAGTCAGTTAGTTAGTGTCTCGTCTAGCGAGTTAGTCAGTCCGTGCGGAGTCCATCAAGTTGACAGTCAGTCAGTGAGTGCTGAGCTGGTCTTCGAGTGCACCGAAAAAGTTTCTTAGTGTATCGCGGTTAGTGCATAGTCGAGAGAGTGTGTTGAGCTCCGGGAACAACTGAACCGAGGATTCGGAAGCTGTACTCTAGTGTATCGTCGAGTGCATCGCAAGTTGTAGCGTGGAGAGTCTCGAGAGTACGTGGAGTTTCGGAAACAACCGAGCAGTGTCGGGAGCTGTACTCTGGTACTTTGCAGATAAGCTCTCTACGCCGTTATAACCTGATAGTGTGAAGGCTGTGTCGCTGATTGTGTCAGCATGTTTATAGTAGTTCTTCGACGACTGTATAACGTGACTTTGGAGCTGTCCTGATTAATACCGGTCAATAAAGTGTGTTTCGATATTCCATCAAGTGCTGTCGTCGTTATTCACTCCAAATCCACACGAACCCCGTACGAACGTGAAGAAAGAAAATAACGTAACAACTGGTGTCAGAAAATAACACAACAATATGTAACATCCCTCTGTATCTATGAATATTTTACGCATTTCTCTCTCATCTAAATTTAAAAAAAAAAATTGATCTATGTAAGTAAAATGACTGAGGAAATGTATGTTTTTTTTTTTTTTTTTTTTTTTTTTTTTTTTTTTTTTTTCCAGATGCAGCGTGGAAGAATGTTTGCTAAACAAACCAATGGACTGTGCAGAAATTCTGGAGAAGTGCAGCTTTGCGAAAACCGGCGTTTATAACATATGGCCTCGAAGTCGAGTGCTTAGAAGCTCGATTAGTGTTTATTGTGATATGGATGACGATGGTGGGGGATGGACGGTGAGTTTTGTGTCAATCTATTAATTTTAAACTAATTCTTCCGCCCCCCCCCAATGGCGAGCACTTGCCTTTAACGGCATTGGTCACTCCCTAAGGCCAGATGTGTTGGTCATTTTATTGTGGAGGCACTAATAGGCGGCTACCGTTATTAAGGGACAGAGAATTTTACAACCATGCCTCCTCCGGGATTTAAACCCGGGCCCTTCGGTATTGCAGTCAGGCTTGCCTAACCGCTATACAGGCTTAAATTAATTGTAAAATGCCAACTAGAAAACCTTCATATTGCAAAGGGTAATTTCTAATTATAACTCTAATTAATAATCCTAACTCAGCGAGTTAATACCTGAGATTCATAATAAGTAATTCAATTATTATTATTATTAGCCCAAAGGGGCACTAGCCCAGAAGGACTATTAGTCTCGAAATGGCATTTTGCATCGAATCACTATAAACGGCTGTATCATTTTTGAAATTGTTGCCACCGAATATTATCGCTCTGCATTATACTTAGAGAATTTAACTAATGAAGAATATATGCACATTCTCGCATTGTAAAAAAAACAACGATACCTAGAACCATCAAATTTTGAATAGCGCTGTCCTCCATCCGGATATGGGCACCTGGAAGCCCAAATTTTGGATTACGAATTTTTTTTTTTATTGTCTCTTTCCTTTTTTTTTTAACTTCAACGAATCTTTGATTTAAAACCTCACCGATTTCAAAGCAAGCAGTGGCAACACACTGTACGGAATAAAATATTTTTATCGCTAGTGCGCGAGACTGTGTGTCGGAAATTTTTCTTAAGATACGCTATTTTAAAATAATTTGAGCCCAAATACTCTCGAAACGTGTATGTATGTGTAAATGAAAAAAACGCCTCCTTTGTGACATACTTTGCGTAATTAGAAGGATAACCGAAAATTTGCAAAGCTTATTAACAGACACGTGAATCAGTTCAACATAGTCAAGTATGAACGAAAAAGATTTCTTTTCATTTACACTGTATGTGTAACCTGCTGTAAAATTTGCATCATAGTGCATAAGCTACGGACTTGCCGAATTAATACTACATTAATTTAAAGTCATTAAGTTTTTCGAAGCAGGAATCATGAAAAATGTGTATTCCCTCACGGGGACTCGAACTCCAGACTTTCCCATTGCCAGCCGGACGTGCTTTAAATTACACCATGAAGGCATGCGGTAAGGAGGGAGAAAATATCTTACAATATTCGCTTTTGAGATACTAATACGTATGCTATCAGTGGCCGAGGGATTAAAATCTGCTGAATGATGGCAGTTCCACCTCGATTCAAACCCAGTGGAAAAGATTGGTTGTATGGTTGGTTTTTCTGCGATTTTCCTTATGTGTAACGAGAATAAGAATCAGTTTTCCTTAGAAATGTTTTTCACGGAAGCATCCCCTTCCTTAAAAGCAGATAACCCTCGTGTGCTTGCTACATTCAAGTAACCCAGGTAATAAAATGGTTTGTGACTCTAACTTCCGTGCCGAAGGTTCGGGGTTCGAATTCCTGAGAACGCATAGATGCAGTTTATTGTCTGTACATTCATAAGAGGCAACGGTGGCCCAACCTGTTTACATTTGAAACTTAGCAGAATAGTGCATTAAGTCTTTCTGCACCTTCAGTGTCTTTTTACCGACCGGGATCAAATTGAAACTTTTAGTTTTGAGCACTGAGGCCGCCTAGACGGTATAGTGGTTAGGAGAGCCTGACTGCGAAGCCGGAGGGCCTGGGATCGAATCCCGGAGAAGTCATGGTTGTAACTGTCCATCCCTTCATAGGAGGCAATGTAGGCTCACCTATTATGTGCCTCCATAATAAAGGGACCACCACATCTGGCCTTATTATAGATTAATGGACAAAATTGTTACTGTTCGCAATCTGCCATTGAAAAAAAAAAAAAAAAGTTTTGAGCACCGAAAAATCTGTCTTATTGGTCTGCTGGCCGAGTTGCTTGTCTTTTGGGTGGAAACTGTAATTTATATTGTAAAAAATATTTTTTTTTTTAACTGTATTTGGTGTTTTATGTTTTTCTATATCTTTCGATTTTTAAGGAAAATATTTTGAGTTTTTACGTATTCTTGCCTTGCCGCGAAGTGAGAACTGAATTAATTGAATGAGAAATATATCTCTAATACCATTCGAAGAAACAAGTTTAAATGAAATGCAGGGGAAAATGGGTATAATTTAATGTTTCGTACAAGGAAGTCACGTGGTGTACATCTCAGATCTTTTACATGAAATAATTTAATTCTGCTTCATTAGTTTGAAGCAACACTCGTAGGCATAACGTAAGTATACAAAACTTCTCACAGAGCATTTAATTGCATGTTTATTTGTCACCTGGACTTGTAGTTTGCGGGTTAAAAATACAGAACAAGCTAAATCTAAGAAAATGTATGCAAATCAATACAGTAGTACAGTAGGCGCGGCTTCATTTGATCCCATTAACGGTATAAGAAAAAATATCCTTCAAAATGACAAAGGAATTTTACTAATTTAACATAAAAATATCAAGAAACATACAACTAGGTATGCCTATACTTTAAGAAAATGCAAAATTTTATTTATGAATTCTTCATAACGTTAAATACGAAAGTTTGCCAATATGTAAATTCACGTATATCGTAGAAAATTTAAAATAAAAAATTATAATTTTTTGCAGCTATGCCTAAAAATACATCTACTTTAAAATGATGGTAAAAATGTTATAGATTCTTTTTAAATTTTTTTTTCGAAAAATTTGTAAAAATATTTAAAATATACAAATTTTTAAAATAATTATAAAAAAAGAGTGAATTATGTTTGGATTAAACCTAAATTTCAAATTCTGGAAGAAGGAATTAAGTAAGTTTAATAAAAAAAAAGATGTTAATAAATATATATCAAATACAATTAACACGGAGGAGCTAAAATTGTGAAAGCTAATGTTTTTAAAACTATTCTTGAGATTTTTACAAAACTTGGCACTTCGGCATAATGTGAGTCGTAGAATCGAAGTATGGAAAAAAATTGATATGTTATTTCAGAAAAGGTCCGATTTCTTGTTAAAATACCTATGTTAGAACAACTGCTATATATAAATCTAACATATATCCTAATTCGCGCTTTCGAGACATGGAAAACGTGGGTTAAATTTCGACAATCGGTCCTGTAGAATGGGAGACATAGAACTGTCCCCCCCTTTTTTGTGTGTGTGTGTGTGTGCAAGGTGTACGTTTTGCATTGCACCTGAAGAAATTGCATTGGTTAGGGTTACTCCAAAACGTTAACAACACCACTTCACTGAATTTGTTAATTTAATATATTTTGTATTTCCCTTTGCTGAAGCAATTCAGGTTGAGAGAAAAAGGCTGGAATTTAAGAGCGAGAAAAATTATTTAATATTTTCTATTGATATATTTTCTGTTATTCAGATCCGTATATAAAAATTTAATTATTACTCAAAGAGCTCAGAATTGGTGGCAAAAGCATGATCAGTCGCAAGAAAAATTAATGATGTTAATGTTTTACATATATGTCAGGGACAGGGACAGGGAAAAGTGGACGGAGCACCAGAACTTCGTCAGTGACTTTTACAGGTGTTGCTCCGCCGCACTACTGTACCCCGCTGGGCTTTTAGTTGGCCCGCATCGGATGCTAGCCTACCAAGACATTTACATAGAATTTTACATTAATATTAGACTTACGTATTGAATATACAATTACAAAAACATAGTATACAATTATTGCAAAGAAATTAACCTATTAACAAAAGTGGGATTATGGCAGATTGAAATAACATAATTACTTCGAACATACATACAAACTTTCATTGTACATTGTACTTCATACAAACAATATATTTACATTAATATATCTAGTTACATCGAATTAAAATAAACATCATTTTAAGGAGCTAATTGAAGGATTTCTTTCTTTCTTTCTTCTTCTTTCTTCTTCTTTTTTTTTTTTTTTTTTTTGTGCATTTTATCATACTTAGTTGAATTACTAAGGCGAATTCTCTTATTAATACATTTCCTTTCATTTTTTTTAACTTGTTACACACAAATGCATCAGCACTGAAGTCTTACATTATTATTTTTGTAAATTAATGTATCATAAATACAGAAAATATACATTAGAAAATCACATAATACTTACATTTACACTAATATATCTAATAGAGTCGTATATTATTTATATTATTTTTTAATTAATGATTTAATTATTACATTAATACAGTCCAAATTCTTAATGTAACTATTTTATAAAAAGTATTTATACCATATTTAGCCTGTTTCAGACACTTTGCAATATTTCTGAAATCTTGCATTATTTTTGCAAGTTGTAGAATAAGAGGTATTTATACAGATGTGATAGCATCTTGACATATGTCTTCTCTTTTATATGCAAAAAGTTTCTTCATAATCAAGGAAACCTTTGTTGTAATTGAGGTATCGTTAGCATGCATTTAATGTACTCAGGCGTAATTTGTGACCTTCCTTTGCAGTGTAGCTCTTTTGTGAGCTGGCACTTGAAAACATAGTGTTTGGGTCTCCCTTTTCCCCCATACGCACTTGTCTGAATCGCTCAAATTTCGTGCAAAGTAGTACGTGGGGAAAGGACCATGTCCAGATAAGAATATGTTGATGAAGAAGTTATAAGAGATTGGATCATATGTGGGTTTCTTGTAGAAGTTGAAAAGCCTTCTACCTACTTCTGCTTTTCCCATTCATTCAGTTTGCCATTTTTTTAATGTAATTTTTTTCAACATATGTTTCACATACGATTTAGGGAATGGGACATTGATTGGAGGTAGAGATGGGTCTTGAGCTGCATTTTTAGCCAGCGCATCTGCCCTTTCATTTTGGGCTTGTCCAGCATGCGCTTTTTACCCACTTTACATATATGTCAACACTTTACTTATATATATATATATATATATATTAAACAATCCAAGTTTGTAATTTTAAAAATTTTAATTTCAGGTTATTCAAAGGCGTGGAGATTTTGACAGTGCTAAAGATTATTTTTATCAGGACTGGAACAGTTACAAAATAGGTTTTGGAGACCCAAGGAAGGACTACTGGCTAGGTAAACAACAATGCAGTGAAAAAGGCAATGTTATCACTTCGTGAATTACTGATTATTATAATATTTATAATTCTATGCCAATAATTATCTGACTTTAAACAGCAATATGACGGAACGCTCATGATGACTTCTTAAGAAACAAAGCGCTAAACGGAACGGCGTTAAACAAGATAATTTCAACGCGTTATTCATAACAATACGTTGTTGTGAATAATCTCAGTTGTTTGTTCTAATCAGAAAGAGCCCTACGCGGCAAGGAGTATAAGGTTTTTTTTTTTTTTTTTTTTTTTTTTTTTTTTTTTTTTTTTTGAAAATTTTAAATCCTTGTGCACCACATAGTATTACACAAGGCTTACAGAGGTAAGTAAAAAAAAAGCAAACAAACAAATACAACAACACAACGCAAAATAAAATAAACTTACAAATTCACAGATGATACGAAGAGATAAATTTACAGAAAAAAGAGAAAGCCATTTTATGTTGGACAAAAACATGAAGAGGGGGAGGAAATGTAATATTCACAGAGTTTAACTTAGAAATGAGTTCCTTTCGTCCTTCCTTGAGCTTTGAACAATAGAACAACAAATGTTCGACATTATGCACTCCCCCGAAACTGCATGAATACAAGTCTGTACTAGATAATCTAAATCTCTTCAGATATGAATTGAATTTACCATGTCCAGTTAGAAATTGAGTAACTTCAAAATTGCAGAAAAAGTGTTTATTATTCACTCTGTGAGGAATGGAAGGAAAATATAGTTTAGTCAAAGAGGCAGAAATAGAATTCCTGTATAGTTCATTCCACTCGAGTATTGTATCATCCCTACTTTTGTTCTTGTAAAATGACTTAAAAAGTATCATTGGAGTAATTACTTGAAGATGTGTAGCTTGTTTTGCCAACCAATCAGCCCGTTCATTTCCTAGATTGCCAGTGTGGCCACGTACATGAAAAAGATAACATCAACACCTTTATTATTAAGGTCTTTAAGAAGAGCATGGGAAGTCACAATTAATTTATTATATGAGAAGATATTCCTAAGAGAAATAAGGATAAAAGAGAATCAGTGCGAATAAGAAATTTACACTTAACGAACAGTTGTTAGATATCCACTTAATTGACTCACACTATGCACAGTAATTCGGCTTGGAAAACACTGCATTCATTGGGAATTCTAAAGAGTTTGTATTCCAGTTCAGAACCATTACGGAAAACGGCATAAGCTAATCCAACTCGATTATTAATTTTACTGCCATCTGTATAACACACAACAGGGAAATTATCATCAACAGAATTGTCATAAATGATAGTTTGAATTGGCAAACGATTGGCAGGATGAGGAAGATCTTCAAACAACACCTTGGCATCGAACATAAATTTGCTGATGGTATCTTTAAAAACTTTTTGTCATTCAAAACATGAAGGTCAATCGGAGGAAATCCTGAAATTGCGAAACAGGCTTCATAGCTAATTGTTCTGTAGCCACGCACAACTCTTAGTAAAAATTCTTCTTTGAATTCTGCGAAGTATACGGGAATTAATCTTCTTTCTAAAGCTGTTCCCCACACTCTGAAGCATAGCAAATAAAGGGACATACCCTGCTTATAAATCATATCAATAACATTAAATTTTAAAAACAAAGTATTGCAAGAGACACGATTAATCCTCTAAGTATATTTTCACACTTAGTGGATAAATACATAATATGCTTTTTCCAACGAAACTTAGGATCAAGAATAACGCCTAAATATTTTAATTTCATTCACCGTTCGAATAAGGTATTATCCAAGTACAGTGTGTTGATTTGTATAGGCTGACAATGCTTTCTTTTAATTATCATAATTTTAAATTTATTAGGATTGAATTCCATTTCTGTTCTGGACCAATTGGAATAATATTAAGGGTGTTTTGAGCCGTATTAAAGAGAGTAATAGGACACTTCTCTTGAAAGCAAATTAGTAATCATCAGCAAAACAATTGTTTTACAACTCGGACAATGTGAGAGTCTATTGAGTAGATCATTCATAATTAAATTCCACAATAAAGGTCCGGAAACCGAGCCTTGAGGGCAACCTCTTTCCAAAACGCGTGAGGAAGAAACGTGGCCAAGGGAGAGCAATGCCGATCTGTCATGCAGAAAAGCTTTAATAAGGTGGTAAATATTACACGGAATACCAGCTTTCCTTAAAAAAAAAAAAACAAGTATCCCAGGCCACCAGGCGTGGTCGAAAGCACCTTGATATCAGAAACACTAAACTGTGTGGAAATTTCTCTTTTACCTTCGTCCACTATGTCTTTTAGTACAAAAGAGCTTCACAACTCTTATGAGGGGTAAACCAAACTGTGCTTTATTTAGCAGTTTTTTATTCTGCGAGAACCAGGTAATTCTATTAACAAACAGCTTTCTAGGCATTTTCCTAAACTGGGAAGAAAGACTAATGCTCTCAAGTTATCTAAATGCGGAATACGAGGACCACTATTCTTAGGATTAAAACGACATTCGCTGTTTTCCCAGCAACGAGGAAATGAACCCGCCTCAGACAAGTATTGAAGATTTTGGAGAATATTTGGAAACATTCTATGAACTTGCTTCAAATTTCATTTGAATAGATCAAGACCGGAGCTTATGCATTTAAGTTTTTCTATAACACTATTAATTTCTGACATAGTAAATGGAGGATCTGGATTAGCAACATAATTAACGAAGCTTCAGCCCTAATCATTCTATGAACGAATTTCGTGCTAAAATGGTCCGTGGGAAAGCTTCTGTTAAGAACCTCATTAGCAGTTCTTCAAGCCACTTGTACAATTACCAGATGGGGAGATAAATTCCACTGACTTCATTCCTTTCATAAAATTTTTCTTATACCATTCGTATATATTTTTTTTCCAACATTTCTTTCATTTATACTCATTAGGAATTCTCTCCAAGACTTAAGCTTTGCATCCTGGAGCTTTAAACTGTAACTATGCCTTAAGTGAAGATATTTTTGTATGGCAAGAGTATAAAGTTGCGCCTGTCTTTGGCAAGAGCCTTGAGCATCATACAGGTCACAGTCCGACTTTCCTCAGTTCAGCCTGTTTTGAAGGACAGCACCTCTGGGAACAGGTCCGATGGTCTTTCATTCCTGTACCGTTACCACCAAACTATGCAATAGGACTTTCGGGTCGTTATATATTTAACGTGCTCTCATGACGCAAAGACACTACACATTTATAATATCTATGCCTTCTCCGGGATTTGAACCCCGGGCGTTCGGCATGGCAGTCAGAGTCACTAATCAATATCCCACTGGGCGGCTGTGGCGTAAGTCCAAGACAATAAATAATTAAATAAATAAAATGTTGCTTGCAATACTGGGCAAAAAATATATTTATCAATCCAAAAAAATTAGGTTTGTGAACAATTTTCAGCATCTTCATTAGAAATAAAACATTTTTCTCTCCAGCGTTGCGAGACAGTTGTCTTTCAGGAAAATGTAAGATATTTATATTTTAACTTTAATTAAAAATTAACAAAACATTATTTTAATTTTAAATCACTTTAATTAAAAAAATTTTTTGATTTTTGTTGCTGAGCTGTATGCGACGTAAGTTCGAAGAAAGCGATGCTTAATAATAAAGCTTAAAAAAAGGGGGGAGGCAGGAATGAGTGTAAGCGCAGATTTTTGGTAGATTGCAAGCTTAACAACAGCGTAAACAACTTTAACAAACCCTTTTGGGCGACCGTTGGAATTTGAAACCTTTCAGATTTTATTTTTATATTTTTTAAAATAAAGTCCAAAGAGGCAACCTGCCTTGAAGGACTATTATTTTCGCTTTATTATTTTGCTTTGGTTCACTATAAATGTCCGATACACTTTTCAAATTGTTGCCATCAAGTATTATCGCCCGGTATTATATTTAAAGAAATTATTATTATTTTGATCGAAAAATCTTCTGCAATCTTTGATTTTTTAACTTAATTTTAATCGTTAATTTTTTTTTTCAAGTCACTAGTCGTTCTTAGAAACGAGACATCACATACTGTACACATAACATAAACTAGGTTTAGGGTCATCTGTCATTTCAGCAGCAAGACATAAAACGTCAGTTTGCTTTCGAACTTTTGCCAAATTCTATTTATACTGTCTATTTGTATTAGTATTTGTGTATTCTATGCAAAATTTCCCTTGAAGAAGTCTTTTTTGGGTTCTTTAATCTTCAAATCAATATCTTTATGTTTCATGTGAACTTGTTTTTTCAAAACATCGTTAATGAGGTTACCGCTAGATATGTGTAAGAATTTTACAGTGTCCAAACCACATATAATTTTTATCTTATTGTATTGGCTAGGTGTACAATCTGATCAACGTTGGACATTACTTTTTCAAAATTTCGGAATATTCTCTACAACACATTTCTTACCCTTCTTATTTCATGCATTTTTTTTAAACTTTACTTTAATTTTACTTAAGTTTGATATTGTCTCAATGCGGACTGTGAATACATTCTTAGAACCTTATTTTCATAGTTTCACTTGTTGAAACGAGCGATGAGATAACACGGTTTTAAATTTGATCTAACTCCTTTGATTCATTGCCTATAATAGTAAAGTTGTGTTGGAAGGTAAATAAACTACTATAAAATTTTAAGATGGCTTGGAGCATTTTCATTTAGCAGTTATGTTTATTTTTTCTTAAAATCACAGAGATATTTTACAAAAGGACAAAACTATGGCCTGATGCAAGTATAAAGCATATATATCCATTTATCCAAGATTTGCAAATTGATTCGCAAATCATAGGTAACTATATTTTAAAATTTCACATACATATATAAATCCGCATTACTTTTACTGTCTCTGGGAAGCGCGAAATGGTTTTTGATACTCTTTTTTTTCTACTTCATCACGTGTAAAGTGAATAATAGCCTACGTCTCTTAGAAAGTTCTCCACGAAGGCACCCCTCATCCTTAGGAAGTTAGCACTCATGTGCTTTGCGATAATCCAATCCCGTTCATTCCCTTGTGCTCAGGGTAGCTTTGGCCAGAAAGATATGAATGTTTTTTGCAAAATCCAAAGCAAATTTTTTACTCAATGAAACTGTAGTCTAGTTCAGTGTTTTCTCCACTTGCGATACGCAAAATGGACTCGTGTACAGAGAAAAAAAGATGTAATGGTGAACTCTGATGGATAGATTGAATAGAAATGATAAAAAGCTGTTGTAACAACTGGCACTTCCAATCCAAACTATATCTTATTATCAAAAATCAAAATAATTATACTGAATCCGAAATAATTTTGTTTTAGAAGGATATGAATGTTTTCAATTCAGTTTAGATATAGAATTTTCATCTGCAGGACTAGTATCTGTCGAGAGGGACAGGGCCACCGGACGACACATAACAATATCCTTGTATATTTCAATAATCCTTGCACAAAATCGGCAGACAACTTTTTTCTTTACGAAAAATCTGGAATAATCCCAAAATTAGTTTTCGGGCTGGTTGTAGTTGGTCTATTTCTTTGCCTCAATGTTACCAGCCATAGCATACACATAGTATTTGTACTGTAGGGTTATTATTATTTTAATTAACCAGTTATTTATAACTTCAGCTTCACTATCATTTCTCCTTTCCGTTTTCTCACCAGAATGAAAATCGGTTTGAAAGTTCAGTGCTAATCAGTTCGAGGGTTTTGCATGTGCCGTTTGTGCCTCGCAAATCACTACTAGATTTTGCCAACTCTGATAAGAGTGTATGGCTTTGCGTTATTGCTGTCGACATTTCAAATGGTAACGGCGATGAGAAGTTCTGAGGCAACTCAGAGTTTAAATCAGTTGCGTTGTCTTTACAAACATATAAGGATAAAGAAACCGAGCTCACTGAGCCGAGTAACAGAGTGAATGTACAGGGTGTCCCACAAAGGACCCCCGTTTTTAAAATTAAATAATTCGAAAAAAAAAGATAGATAAAAGAATGAAACAAAAGGTATGTTTATTGGAACAGCTGTAAAAATCTGATACAGAAGTTTCACATTTAGTTACAAAAGTTACCAATAGGTGACGCTGTACTTTGTATTAACAAGAAGGAGTCCCTATGAACAGCGGAACTGTTAAAACGTGAAAGGACGTTAGGGCATCGACGATACCTCCGACCTCCTTACTTAGTCCAGTGCACATCGTCATGGGCCATGGGACGTATAGATCAGTGAGCAGGACACGTAGCGCTTCGCGAGATATCCTTGCAATACCCGCATGATTGATTGATTGATTGGTATCGACGGATGTGCTCAGCAAAATCCGAATAGCTCAATTGGAAGACTTGCAGCAGATTTTGCCTTAACGCAATTCTCGATCATACCTTAACGCAATTCAGCATCACACCTTAATGCAATCCTTAATGATCATGCCTTAACGCAATCCAGCACGCACAGAACACTGAGAAACGGGCTACACATGTTTCCGTTCAAAGTCCAATGTCACCAAGCCATTTCCGTTCGAACTGTGCAACAAAGAGAAGACTTCGCGAACGAAACGTTCACAATGGTTGATGATGACGGATTCGATGTTGGTTGCACATGAAGCAAATTTTCACCTGAATGCTGATGTAAACAAGCAAAATTGGCAATTCTGGAATACTGAAAACTCCCATTTGTGTGAAGCAAAACCACTACGTTACCCCAAAGTTACTGTTTGGGCTGCAGTATCCAGCAAAGGTGTTATCGGACCCTTCTTCGAGAGAAACGATCACTTATGACCGTTATGTTGAAATGTTGGAACAATTTGTTGTCACACTGTTAGCATTGGAGAATCGACCAGGCATTTCATGGTTCATGCACGATGGGGCTCGATCACACTACACTGAACAAGGTGTTTCAGTTCCTTGAGGACTTCGAGGATAGAGTTATTGCTTTGGGCTATGCCAAATTTATTGTAACAGGCACTGATTGGCCTCCATACTCACCCGATCTTATCCATTGCGACTACTTTTTGAGGGGCATCTTAATAAGTTTAAATGAGATGCAGCAAAAAATTGCATAATGTGCCGTATAAGGAAGTAATGTGGTGTACACATCATAATTTTTATTATGGCCTTCCTTACTGATATCTGACATTTTTACATCGCTTAATAGGATCACTCATAATTGTAAAAATTTTATATTAGAAGATTTTAACCTAATCAGTATTTCTTTGTGATTAAATACAAAATAAAATATCATATTTTAAATATTTTATTTGCTGATGTTTTCTATTTTTTTTACTAGGTAATGATAATATTTTTGCTTTGACGAATCAAAGAGCAAATGCCTTAAAATTTACCTTAACAGATTGGGAGAAAAATACTACCTATGCTAGCTATGAGGAATTTTGGATAGATGATGAAGGACATAATTATACTTCTCATCTGAAAGCATATAGAGGAACAGCGGGTAAGTATTATTAGTTTGAGAAAGTAAGCTTTAGGAATAAATTATGTACAGGTAATAAAGCTGAAATTACATTTTTATATAAAGGAAAGAGTGTTATTAATTATTTTGTATTAAGCATCATATATATAATATCAGAAAGAAAAATAAATAAATAGTTTTTTTTCTCAAAATTATTAAGAAAACTAACGTCATATAGCCACACAAGACTCTTAAATGATCATACAATGAGGCGCTGACCTTGCCGTGCAGGGAAAATGTCGCAAAAATTGTTAGTGTCACAGACACCTGGGTTCGGTTTAACCATTAACACGTTGACGGCGGCGCGGATATTCATTGTTCTTTTCGTGCGGTGGCGTTTAAATTAGCGGCCGTTTCGTGGGGCGGCTCTGAAAGGTTTCAGATTTTAAATTCCGTCCAGAAGGGGCGTTTTTTCAACGTTTTGTGTGTTAACTTTATTTATTAAATATCATGTTCTACGTACTCAAGCCATAAAATTCAGTTCAACAGCAATATCGCAAAATAATTTTAAAATGATCATATCTTTAGAATTTCCGATACAGAATCACACGTGCTGGAGATAACTCTTTTTTTTTTTTTTTTTTTTTTTTTTTTGTGTTGCGATTGCTCGCTTTGAAAGCGTCGAGTTTATTAATCAAAAAATCGTTAAAGTGTTACAAAATATGAAATCAATAATAAAACAAATTTCAAATTCAAATTAGGGCTTCTACATGCCCATACTCTGTGAAAGATTACGTTATTCAAATTTTGATGGCTCTAAGTACCGTTGTTTTATCACAATGCGAGAAACATACAACCATTTATGCAGATCCTTCATTATTTAATTTCTTTAAATATAATACAGGGTTCTAATATTTGGTGGCAACCTCATGCGGAAAGCATTATCTGAAAAGCTTTTAATTTTATAATAAGCTTCAAAATTTTCCCTTATTAGATGAACCCCTCTTTTGATGTAATTATTTTATCTCTGATGATATGGAGTTAAAGGCCTAGCCTAGTGCACTCCGTAAATTAACTTCCTTAACTTCCTTGATCCTTGATTGAAAAGTGATTCTCCGTTTATACTTTTCAACACAAAATGCCAAAACGAAATTAATAGTTCGTCAGAGTAAATTGCCCTTTGGACTAAAAAATTATAAAATTCAATTATTATATTGTAAGTCATTAGGTTATTGAAGCAGAAAAGATGAAAAAATATGCAACTGCCTTCGCCGGAATCGAAACCACGGACCTCTTGGATATCGGCCACGTGCTACCGTTACACACGAAACCACTAGGGAAGTAGGGGAGAAATACTTTATATATTATAATATTATTATTTAATCTAATATAATAATTGTATTTTTTGATAACAAGCTTATTTTAGTATTTTTTTATATACAAGCGTGACGCATCGGTGAGTCATGCCGCCCCACGGAATAGGACAAGTATGACCCACCGGTGGGTCAGTCTGGCGTCAATGTGTTAAGCTACGTGTCTCGGGTTCTAAACCCGGCCATGAGAAACTAATTCACAATACCAATTATAGATGGCGCCACGAGGTCAGCCAGGTCTAAAACAATTACACCAACGCCGCTCTGTTAGTGTTAATGAATACGTACACATACTATCATAATATTAAAATTTACTGTATGGTGTACTCAAAAGTAAAGTAGTAATTCATTTCACCAATCTGTTAAAAATTTTTGAATTTAATTGAAGTGAAAGGAGATGAAATACTAACTCTAATAAATAATGAAATCCGATGTTATATTAACGTTAATTTCAAGCCTGGAAAAAAAAAAAAAAAAAATACGTGGTTTGGAGGATGGTAATTTTTGTTCTGAAACGATAATTATTCCCGTATTGCGGGAGGCTCGTATACCGTGAGATGACACAGGTGTAACGTTCTCTCAGGGGATGAATTGAATTTCTTGAAATAAAAAGTGTAGAAACATATCGAAGTGAACTGATTTCGGAGCAATTGTTAAAACTAGAGATTTTGCATGAACATGAATAGTTTCAAAGGGTTCTTACAAATTGAAATTTTTTCTCTCTTTACAAAATCAATATAAATTTCAATAACTTACCTTGCTCTCCATCCCTTGATATATAACGCTGCTTCCTTAACTTGTCTCCAGTTATACCGTCCATCTTTGTCCCTTTCCTCTTCAATCATCTCCTTCAATCCTATTTAGTCTACGTCCCATGGCTGTCTCTTTCGTACGTCAGTGCCACTCTTGGAGCTTCTGTGGCTAGTATTCTTAACATATTTTTTTTTAACGTCCATTTTTTATATTTAATTTCTTCCATTGTAAGTTTTGCATATAATTTTGCATTGGAAACAGTATGTGGTTTAAAATTAGGTAAAAATGCAAGCTTATTTTGAGGTAAATTTTGAAAAATCTGTATCAATTTTGCGGACGATCAGACATTTCTTAAGAAACAAAATAAAATTCTGAAAAATGTGATGCTTAGATATTTAAATTATTCTAGCCTAGGCTAAAATTTAGCGTTATTGTTAGTACCTTCAAATAACCTAAGACTTGGGAAACCTCACATAAACAAACTCAGTCAGATGTTCTAATGAACAAAAGAGATATTGAAGACCTTGCTTCGGTGATCAAAACTATAATGAGATAAACATGAACATGAACAAAAAAAAAAAAAAAAAAGGAAAAATGAACATGAGTAAACAAGACTACAAATGCAATGACTAATACCAGGTTAAAAATGAGTAAGATAAATACATACAATTATATACCAAATGAACCAAGTGACTGATCACGTAGGAGGTGGACAGCATAAGGTCTGAGTGTGAAATCAGTATCTGTCATTTTATATTTCCCATTTTGGAAATAACTCATGCTATAACTATTATCAGGAAATTTATATCGATATTATGAATACTGTGCTTTATATAAGACGGCATAATGGTTAGAGTAGCTGACAGCGAAAGGGCCCGGGTTCAAATTCTGGAGAAAGCAGGGTTGTATTTGTCCGATGGAGAGCAAGGCAAAGGTTGCGCACCCGTTAGGTGCTTCCGTAATAAAGTGACCACCGCTTCTGGCTTTAATAGTGACCAACATCTGTGGAAGGTTGGGGGCCGTCATTGGGGGAAAAAGAGAGTCTATGCAGTAGCTCATTTGTACACATCCGAGCACAAGTAATCTTTCTCAACATGTTATTTTGAAAAACTTGAGGTCTGTGTCAGTATTGAACTCCAAGCGGGAGAGGCTTTACGACAGAAACAAAATGGGAATTCCATCATCTGTATGCCGCGATTATCAGCTGACTTTGTTCAACGTTGGCTCAAAGGGTGCATAATAACAGATTTTTGCCAACACGAAGTTTCTTCCAGGAGATTTGTAAGGTGGTAAGGAGAAAAGCCTGAAACAATCACAGGCATTGAGAAAAGTTCATTCATTCATTACTAATTATGCCGAAATATTGCATGTGATGCAACGTGTCCGGCTCATGACAAGTACGCCCATTGGGCACATGACATAAAAAGTGTCTGGACCGAGTGATAGGAGGCAATAGGAAATGAAAAAGAGGGGGGTGACTACATGACGCCACAAGCAGAGAATCGAACTTAAAGCCCAAGACCAGGAGAGGCAGCAAGGTGTGGAAGTGTCAGGGTTAAAAGTTGTTCCTGATAGGTATGTTACGAAAAAACATGATATATTAGCAAATACAATTTTATTACATAAAATAAATACAAAAAAATACAAAAAGGTGAGCATATACAATACAAAATACAAAAGAATACGAGTTGCAATACGAAAGTTTATGTACAATATATACAAAAAGATGAATGTTGCATGAAAGATAGATTTAAGTAGGAAAATTAGTGTCCCTGGTAAGGAAGGCCGCTAATGGTCTGATTTTACATCTTCTGGAAACACGGTGTAGTCGAAAACTTTAAAGTATTCATGTGTACGAGCAGTTTCTCGCCTTATCAAAAAATTTCCGATTTGCATTATGGAGGAAAATTCTCGACATTCTCTATTTTTAAGTCTCTGTGCAGAGTTTCATTGGAAACATAAAAATGAGCATTCGGTGATTTGCCTTAAAAATTTGTTTTGTGTGATCTGCAATTTCTTGAGGTCATTTTTCGAATAAGTCGCCCAGGCAGGAGACGCGTAAGAAAAGATAGGCCGAATAATGGCAGTATAAATATGCCTCTTTTCTTCGTAGGTCAAGTTTTGAATTTTTTCCGATTAATGGAATAAGATCTTTGATAGCCGCAACTGTTTTGCCTCTTACTTTTTGGATGTGGTCTTTCCATGTGAATTTATTGTTTAAAACACAACTCCAAGATAAGTAGCTTTGTTCACAAGCGGAACTTCAACATTAAAGATTTTAATTTATTTAACAAATGGACTTCTAGAGTGCCTTTTTCCAATAATTATAAGCTGGGATTTTTGTGCATTGATGGCAATGCGCCATTTCGTGCACCACCATTGCTCAATTTCTGGAATTTTATCCTGCAATTTAGAAATGGCAAGTTCTTGATTGTGAGATTATATGCAAGCGCCGTATCATCGGCGTAACATCCTAAATAAAAATTAGAGTCTGTGCAAATTTTAGGGAAATCAGCAAACATAGAATATAAAAAGAATTGGTCCCAAAATTGATCCTTGAGCTACACCAGCATTGAGTCTTCTGGGATCAGAGTTGTCGTTACCAATATTTACGAAGAATTTTCTGTTTTTAATAAAAGAATAAATGAGTAAGATATCAGATCTCTGTCAAAATCCAAGGATATAAGCTTGAGAATAAGCCCCTCATGCCAGACGCGGTCGAAAGCTTTCGCCACGTCTAGCATGAGTAAGGCGACACTCTGATGTTTGAAAAAGTGCAGAACCGATGTATTCACATAGTCGGACAAGCTGCTTGGTCGTAGACAATTTCTTACGGAAGCCAAACTGTTCAGGAGGTATCTTATCCATGTAAGGCTCGATTCTCTTATAGATAACTCGTTCGTAGATTTTGCCCAGACCGGGCAGTAAGCTAATTGGTCTGTAACCCTCCGGGGAGGTAGCATTTTTACCAGGCTTGGGTAATAAAATTACTTTAGCAGTTTTT